AAATGAATTTACTTCATTAAATTTAAATGACGACCTAGAACGACTACGATGCATAGAAATCGAGGATCTTCAAGTCCATATATCTATTTGAAGCCGCTTTACGGGACAAACCAGATGTTTACGAGGATATAAGAATCGAAAGGATACAAAAACAGTTGGAGGCGTTAGCTGCAAAGGAAGAGGCTTTTATAAAATTGGTCGCCATGGATGACCGCACCATAAGCAGTGGTCGAGAATCCGTGAAATTGAACTACTTAACTTGCTGGTCATCCACCAATCCCAATGATCGCTGACATGTCCGGCATGGGAATTTCAGATGTCCAGCCATTCGGCCTCATGCCTAAAAAGAAATGGGAAGAAAGCCGCACAGTATGTCCGCAAAATCCTTCTGGGTTAAAGTCAAAGAAGAGAAACTGGCGTCTGTAGAAATTCTTTAAAACGTACGTATATTAGCTTGAAAATCAAAACATCATATTTTTATTTTTCCTATTTGATTTTAGTAACTCCAATGTGGTTACACTGAAAAAGGTAGATTTCAAAGTCCTCGATAAGTAGAGATCAGTCTTGCAAGCATTTCGCATACAAATAAATCAAAAAGTGTCTATTCAAATGTGATAACAAGATTCTAACAGAAAACGTTCTTAAGCAGTTAATTCAGGTAAACCATCAGAGTTAATTTCTAAGATCATTCCATATAAATCGTTTGGTTTCTTTTGTAGTACTTGCCGCCCCACAGTCTATTAGCATTGTTGCAAGAGAATAAGAGTTCGTACAATCAGCTCTCAAAAGTGGAGCAGTTCTGCTTGAAGATGTCGGATTATTTTGTCGCTTGCAATCGCTGCAATTCAGACAGAATTATACGGATATGACGAACGCCCTGATGCTGTACATAGGAGCCGCAACAGCTGCCTGCGAGGAAGTCAAGAGAAGCAAGAAGTTAGCCAAGCTGCTAGAACCCATCTTGCTATTCGGAAACTATATGAACACCGGCACATCGAAATCAGAAGCATTCGGTTTCGAAATTAGCTTTCCGAGGAACATGCACATTTAATGTTCAGTATTAGAATATAAATCAGGTATTTTCAGTTGACCGATACGAAGGATATAAATAACAAGCAGACTCTGTTGCACTATATTGTGGAAACGACAGAGAAATTCCCGGAGGTGCTAAACTTCGCCGATGAGATGCAGCACATCGACACAGCTAGTCGCGTCTCGATAGATATCATTCATAAGACGCTGATGCAGATGGACAGAATCATCAAGACTTTGGATATATACATTAGTAACAACCGGGAGCCACAGAACGAAGAAGACCTATTCGTGGAGGTGATGGATAATTTTTCGAAGGTGGCGCGCGAGCTGTGTATCTTCTTTCGTGTCTGCAATAAAATTGTCCTGCATTATATTTGATGTAATTGTTACTTTGA